TACAGCAAGTGCTCAATGGAAGTTCCATCAATGAATAAGTCAGTACATAGATGCTTTGCAGATTCATAGATAAGGTTGTGGATAATTTGTAGAGACAAAGCTGTATACATTTGGAACTCCCTAATAGGGCTCCGGGGAGGACTATGGACTAAGCTGAGCCTTAAAAGGGTCTCGGAGTTTTGGAAGAAATCCAACAGTAGAAAGGAAGCATTTTAGTGCCAAGCAACCTCAGCGCTGCCCTGACTTGGCAGTAGCTTCCCGGTGCTTTCTCCTGGTGGACCTACTAGGGAAAAATGTGAAACCTGCCTACTTGTTATATGTACAATTTCAGAAATTACATTCATGTGTCTCTGTCATTGCATATATTGAATATCAGTGAATTTTGAGTTCTTTCTCATTTTGGGTAACAATAAACAGAAGTTCTAATATTTCCTTCCTGTCACCCAGTGTGTGGCCTTATGCTGCCTACAATACTCTCAGCACCACTTGGTCTCCCCCATTTACTTACCCCCCTCTTAGTTTTTCCCCACTACACTGGGAATTCTTGAAGGGGTACATTCATATCCCCCCCCCCCCGAAAAACAAACAAACCAACAAACCCAATAACTCTAGTACCTGTTCCAATGCTCAGAGGTTATGAGTGAAGGCTCCATCTCTGTTTCTGGCAGAGGAGGTAGACTGGCGAACCTCTGTAAAGACACGCTCCCTGGTTTCCCTCGGTGAGCCTACAAGTATTTTTTCTCCTGTGATAGACCTGGCTGAGATGCAAGAGATTTTAACAGGCAAGCAAAGGTAAGAGTCAAGTCAGAGCTACACGTCATAAGAACCATGGTGATGAGCGAAAAATGTATTTGGAATCAAAATCCTTGGTGACCTCTGGACAGAAATACATCAGCCTCCTTCTTTTCAGTTGGCTAAACAAACACACCAATAAACCTCTTTAAAAAAATGTTTGTCATTTAGCCTGGCCGGTGTGGCTCAGTGGTTGAGCATCGACCCATGCATCAAGAGGTTGCCGGTTCGATTCCTGGTCAGGGCCCATGCCCAGGTTGTGGGTCCGATCCCCAGTGCGGGGCATGCAGAAGGCGGCCAATTGATGTTCTCTCTCATTGATATTTCTGTTTCTCTCTCCATCTCCCTTCCTCTCTCTCTAAATCCAATAAAGAATATTTAAAAAGAAATGTTTGTCATTTAACTGAGTTTTATGATCAGGAAAGATTTTCAAGTCATCTAAGATAAATTTCTTATTTTAAAGTCAAGAACTGATTTGCTCCATGGTAATAGAGGTGGAGTAGAACCCAGATCTCCCGCTGAGCAGTCCACACAGCCACCGAGGTGCAGTTTTGTTGGTTTTACTGGCTGGATTGGGCAAATGCTGTACGGACAGATGGAAGTGATTGAGGGAGGTCACTCATCCCTCTGGGAGCCTCTGGGTACAGGGCAATTGATGACTGTACACAAATCCTTTAGTCTTTGTGTTTGTAGTTGAAATGGCTAGGTGTGCTCCTTTAGGGCTTGAGAATTTACTCAGTAGGCTGAACCAATTCAATTCTGTTCCTTCATGTCAGTTCACCCTTCATTTATACACACCTGTTGGCCTTACTCTAGAGTTTTCTTTCTTCTATCCAGGTATGCAAGTGATCAGAGAGCTTCCCCAGCCTTGTGTGCCTTCTCACTACTGATTTCATAAGCAGCTGATATACAATAAATATTTAGCTCATTATGTTTTGCATATCTAACACATGCCAGGCAAGTTCTTAAATTTTGGGTGTCATTGACCACATTGGGAATCTGATGGAAGTTACAAATCTTTCCCCCAGAAAAATGCCCATATGACACATCCCTTTTTTTTTTTGGTATCTGGTTGAAGGTGTTTATGGGCACCTCTGGGCACCTCTGTGGAGAGGAGCTGGTTAGGAATGTGGAACAGTGTTCTTGAGAAGAATGGAGGATCTAGCTCAAGTTAGACACCACCGATTGGTAATGTCCCCAAGATTTCAGGTGATGTGATTTTCCCTAGGCATACTCTCTTGCCTGGGTGCGTGGGTGCAAGAAAGCAGATGGTGAGACTGATTTAGAGATGGAGATTGCCGGGTCGGGGCAGTGGAAGACCGTGTATATGAGTGTGTATGAATTGTGGCCGCTACTGGGAATGTGTTTGAAATGAGTATCCAGAACTCAAGAATAACCAGGGAAGGCAGAGAAAGGATTTAAGAGGGGATAAAAGGGCTTAGATGCCTGGCAGGGAGGGAGAGAGGGGTTGCTGGTGGCTGGAGAATTTGGTTGGAACTGAGAAAGGGAGAGGTTAAAAGCTAGGGAGTGGTGGTCACAGGATGGGATCTTAGTGCAAGACTACAGAGGTAGAGTACTTCTGTGTGGTGACAGGGTTTAGGGTGTGACCATGAGTCTAGAGTGTCAGATGTTGCTTATGAACACAGAAGCTGTCTAGCATGCATGCAGAAGGTGAGGGGAGAAGCCTGTAAGGGGCATGATAAGATAACCAGTTAATTTGGGCACGATACCTTTTTGGCTTTAGGCGGAGAAAAGAAATCTCTCTGAAGTTGAGTCTTGCCTGGAAACTTCATTAATGTGAGGACATTTTTTTTTCTACTTTGGTTTCTGTCTCCTACCCCCAAATAGGAAGATGCTTGAGAGACATACCTAACTGTTTAGAGCCACTTACTACTGGGGACCCTAGCTCAATGCCTCAACCTCCCAAGTTTAGGTCCAATGAATATTCAAGAATTATTTTTGCAGAACTCCCCATTGATTGTGCTAGCTTCCATGTGTAGTGTGGTTATAACAACACCTAACTCAACTGGGCATTCAGTGAGATAATGTTGGGACCCTGCCTGGCCCAGCAGCTGTCATATAACTGCTCAATAACTCAGGTTTCTTTTCACTCAATGTCTTTTGTGCCCAACACCTGTGGTTAAAAACTGTCCCTGTGCTTCCTACCTGGCTTTTTCATTTAACTGGTTTGTATTCACTTTCTTGTACATTATACAAAGCAAAACCATAAAAATGATATCGAACCCAGGAGTAGGGTTCCAAAGGATGAAATAAAAGGATTGTTCTATGTTTAAAAAATCAATATTTAAAATAATAAATAAACAACAAAACAAAACAACACTTTAGTTAGATTGAAACGACGTGGTGGAAACTAGTAGACTCATTGCCTGATCTTTATTAATTGGCAGCCCGGTTTCATTTTTAGGACCAAGGAATCAAATGGACCAAGGAGGGGCTTTGAATTCCAGCATTTAGAGCTCTTAGCTTTGGAGAGAGAAGAGATCATGGAAATTCAGGAGCTAAAATATGCTTCGTATAATAAAACGCGTATAGAGGTGTGGGTGGACATAGAAACTGACTTGGTGGGTTAGAATTTGCACACGGAGGGAACCTACCTAGTCCACTAATGCCTGGCCTGGCTCCCAAAGTAACAGAATCCAAGTCTCCAGGCCAGATTTTCCCTCTAGCCATTCCCAGCCACGCAAAGCAGAGCTGCGAGCACACAGAAAGGGATGTCTTCATCGCCAACCGGGATGGAGCAAACCCGCCCGCTCGGGGAGTGCTGAGAACCTAAGGGTCCCTCCAACGCCTGTAGCAGCCAACATGACTTGACTGCCCCATCCCGTGCGGTGCCTGCTCTCCAGGCGCCCCCACCCTTTCCGGGTGCGCGCGCACAAGCCGGCGAGCCGGGGAGCTGTGCGCCCGGCAGCCTGAGGGCGGCGGCGGCCGACAGGCTTGTGGGGAGGGGGTGGCTAGGGGCGGCGGTGGAGGAGCTGGCGCTGCAGCGGGTCCCCTCGGGCCGCGCCCCGCGCTCCGCCGCCACCTGCGCATCCCCTCCGGACTCTCCAGCGCTGGGGCTGTGTGGGCTCTCAGTGCCGCAGCGGCGGTATCACTGCGTCCACCAATTAGGGGAGTCGGCGTTTGGCTCCTAGGGGCGCGGGACGAGCAGAGCCGCCCGTTCCGGCGAGCGGAGGGTGCGCCGCGCGAGTCCCTCCCGCCGCGCTCCCCGCGACGTTTTCGGAGGGGGTTAGAGAACTGCTGTGACTTTTGAGGTCCGACTCCTCCTTCCGGCCAGCCTCCTGACGCGCCAGCCCGGGGAGAGGCCAGTGTGACCGGCAGGCCTCGAAGGCTCACGGCGTGGTATTGGGACTTGGAACGTGTCCCGGAGCCCGCGGCTCGTGCGCGCTGGTTAGTTTGGCGCGGGGTGGGGTGTCTCTCGGCGCGAGGGGCGGAAAGGACGTTGTGCTCTGCCCCGTTGCCTACCCTCTAGTACTGCTCCCACTTTGAGAGTAATTGAGACTTGAGTGTGACTGCGGAGCCGCGAGGATGCAGGCGCCAGGAGCGGGCTTTCCTTCCCTCTGCCCGGCGTGATGGAGCGGGTTGGTGAGCGGAACAAAGGCACGCGCCCGGAGAAGCGGGTCCTTGGCTGAAGACCGCGGGTTGCGCTCCGCGACGGCCGCCTGCTGACTAGAGCGGTGGCTGTGCGGCCCGAGGCGCGGCGCGATACCCTGCCGGCGGGCGACGAACCCTGAGCAGGGCACCTGCGCGCCGATCCCGTCCCGGCGCCGGGGCAGCCCACGCCGCCCGCCCGCTATCCCTGGAGATCGCTGCTATCGCAGCTCCACTCCTGGCGGCCCGAAGGCCAGCGGCGAACCACTTGCTGGTGCGGAGGACAGGCCCCCGGCCCCCGGCCCTTCACCGAGTAGCCAAGGCGCTTGGAAGGGGCCGTGCGCCTTGGAGTAAGCAGGCATCTCCGGGAGCACTTCTACACACCCAGGGCTTCCACGTGAGCAATTCCACTCCCCTACTGAGCGCCCTGTTCTCTCAACCGTCTCCGCTGCCAGAGCATCCGCTCTGTGGGGCCGGGAGTGGCTGGGACTCTCACCAGCCGTTCCGGAGAGTGAGGCTCGCACGGCCCCGGCTGCCCCGCGCCTCGCCAGAGCCCGATAGGGCGCAGGTCCGGGGTGAGGGCCGGCCGGGCGTGTTTGATGGCTTCACTGAGAAGAGTCAAAGTGCTGCTGGTGTTGAACTTGATAGCGGTGGCCGGCTTCGTGCTCTTTCTGGCCAAGTGCCGGCCCATCGCGGTGCGCAGCGGAGACGCCTTCCACGAGATTCGGCCTCGCGCAGAGGCGGCCAACCTCAGCGCGCACAGCGCCAGCCCCATCCAGGATGCGGTCCTGAAGCGCCTCTCGCTGCTAGAGGACATTGTCTACAGGCAACTGAATGGTAAGGATGCTCGCTGGCGCCCACGGGGCTCGGTAAACCCCGGGGGCCTTGCGCGCGGTGCGGGGTTTACCTGGCTCCCGCGCGCTCCCTCTTACCCAGTCTGCCCTGTCTTGGCTAGAAGGCCGGGGCTGCTGGAAAGAATTACATGTAAGTTTGCTTTTATTGTGGAAACATGTCAGTACAGCTGGCTCCCGGTCCTAGTGTGCAGGAACGCGCAGGAATCACTACCTGGCGACTAAATCCCAAGTGCAGAAACCGGTCGCATGGCCAAATGGGACTGACTTGGAGGAAATGGCTCATACAGCCCAATGTTTGGTGGAGTCCGACAGGGAGGAACTTTGGTGGGCTTATATGTTTGCAGGGTCAAGGCCTCAGGTGTGAAGCTAATGCTCCTCGGTACTAAATTGGATAAGGCGGTCTTCGCCGCTTATAACGAGGGCTCCTCCTCCATTTCTCAGCCTAGGTGGAGGCTGCTATTAAAAACACACCTGGCTTCTCCCAGAGAGCTGCCTGAGGGCCTTGTTCAAGTTCATGGTGGGTTGGGGAAGCAGGCTATTACAGTGTTGTAAAGCGAGGTGTGCCATCTAATTACAGCAGGTTCTCCAATAACGAGGATTCCTGCAATCTCATTTCCTTAAAACGTTGATGAGATACTGTAGAAACTTAGATATTGCTTATATCAATTAGTTCGTGGTAACATTAGTTTCGTTATACCAGTCTTCTTCAAGTCACAGAACCTATCCAGAATGTGAAGTGAGGACTTACTGTGAGGACAGCTGTCAGAATCTGTCCCACCTAAAATGTTCTCTTTGGTACTTTAGGAGAAGAGGGAGACTTAATGTGCCCTGGTCACATCTGGTCCAGAGACTGATAGATCATTGTACACTTGTTGGTCCCAAGGTCAGACTGAGAAGTCCCTTAACTACAAGCAGCTCTCCAGGGTCCATACAGTTGGTATCTAAGGCAGATCCAAGGCTGCCACCTCCTTTTCTGAGTTTATAACATATGTTCTCATGGTAGTTCCAGAATTAGAGATAATCATAAAGATAATGATAACAACAATTGGTGGAATTCTTGCTGTGTGCCAGACACAATGCAGAGATGTCGTAAGTGCATTATCTCATTGAATTCCATCAGACATGAGCAGAGGAGTCTTGGAGAGGTTACCTAAGTTGCCTGGTGTCCTGCAGCTAGTAAGCGGTCAGGTCTGGAATCACAGTCTATTGTCTGGTTCACCACAGAGCCTATGTGCTTGACGACTTCTATCTACTGTTTCCTCCTAATTACAAAAAATATTAAGTTTGATGACAAGAAGATTTTGCATTAGGAAGACCCAACTCAACTGTCTTCCCTGCAGTTACAGTGAGAGACCAGGCTGATGGCAGGAAGAAGGATGACCCCAGACTGTCCTTTTTCTGCCCTCCAGTGATTCATTCTGGGTCCTTCTAGGTGGGATGTGGTCAGATCTCTGAGCACCCTCTGAAAGGACCCCTTGGACTTCGCCATGTCATTCGGCAGATATCCAGGGGATGCCTTGAGCTTGTCTCTGCAGTGGGACGCTGCAGTGTCACCAACCCTCACAGACAGTGTGGCCAGGCCCTCCATGTGGCTTGCTGTGGGGGTTGTGAGGGCACGCTTCTCCTGAGTGTGAAAAATCAAGGCACAGAATGAGACAAAACCCACAGTTCATTCTGGAGGAATTAGAAGCTTATGGTGCGGGCCTTATTATTCTACACAGATACCTGCCGTCGATGTACCCAAAGGACCCAAAAGTGAGCGTGAAAATAGCCTGAGCTCCCTCACTGCACTCAGGGACATGGTTGTTTCAGTACTGGTTTCAGTTAGGAAACGGAATATGATATAGTCATGCACTCCTAAAGGTCCCAAATAGGAATAATTAAATTCCAAATGGTATTCACTAAGTGCTACAGACACGCAGGGACTCATTTAGTCTTCACAGCAATGCTAGGAGACATCCTGTTACCCCACCCACCCCAGGGAGCTTGCTCACAGCCAGTCACCCAGCTAGGGGGTCGGAGAGCTGGGAATTGGACTCTGACAGTCTGGTTCCGGAACCAGGGTTCTTAGGTGCCGCACCAGCAGTCTCAGTCTTTGGTGTGCCTCAACGTCGCACGAAGAGCCTGTTAAGAAACAGATGTCTGGCCCCACTGCCAGAGTCTCTGATTCAGTAGATACAGGGTGAGGGCCCGAGACTTTGTATCGCTGACAAGCTCGTGGCCTGAGCCATGGTCCACTGCCCTCTACTCTGTAGCCTACACCAAGCAAAGCAAAGTGGAAAGCCCATCTGCCAACACCAGCTGGTGGGGGGGAGGCTTTCTGAGAAGCCAAGGGCTTGCTTCAGATGGGCTGGGGGTCTGGCTTCTGCCATGCAAGCGATTCCCTGGGGGTGTGGAGGTGCCCCATGCTCGGGACTGGTTGGGTCGGGCGCTGTGGGGTGGGAAGGCTGAGTTTTCTTGACTTGAAGCTTCTGAGGCAGAGCTGGAAGGAGGGCTGGGCTGAGAGCTTTTTCTGGACAAGCCAGGAATTCAAGCTGCAACTAGAGAGATGCTATCTTCCTGGCTGCGGAGTGTAATTGGTAGTGACACGAAGCCTGGAGGAGGAGGGCAGGAAAGAGTTGTGAAATGGAGAGGACCCACCCCTGTGCACCCACCCCGCAGTGCTCCTCCTTTGCCTGTGCTTGTTTCAGGTACTGGTGTCCCACTTGTCCATGTGCTAGGCCTGCAGGGCCACTTGCTACCACGGGAGGGTGGCGAAGGGAGGAGGCGTCTCCCAGTGCCTGGGCGAAGGGACCTGGTTGCCCTGTTCTTTGCTGTGCATCCCGTTCCATCCCTCACTGCCGAAGGAGGAGAGGGAAACCTTGACCTCGGTGTTCTTTAGTCCTCCAGGTGATGGGGGGCCTGCGAGAGCCAGGCACTGGGCATACAGTAGGAACAAGGCCACTCGGGTCCAGCCCCTCGGGAGCTGTATTTTAAAGGTTGCTTATATTTCTCAAACCTTTCCTGTGGACTCCTTTGGAATTCCAGCAGCAGGGCCTCCTGGAGGGCTCCACCTCCCTGGCTGTGAGCGCAACCTTCCCTGGTGCTGTCTCACCCATGAGACACTTTCCTTGGGTGTCCTGAGAGCCGCCCCTTGGGCTAGGACGCCTAGGGGGCCCAGACTTCTGTAGGACTGGTCTCTTTGCCAAGACTCTCGGGAGCAAGGTCCTGACTCCTGCCTTTTGAAAAACAGTTACAGGTAGTACTTGTTATAGTTTGTCTTAATCCAGGCTGAGACGAACATTTTAAAATGACAGTGGAGATGCTGGTATGGAGGAAAGAGGGCCCGGAGAAGAATCAGGGTTTTCCCCAGATTCTCTCTTGTATCTGCTCTTCCATTTCTTTCTGTAAGGCCCCACTGCTGACCCTGACCTTGCGGCAGTGCCCTTTAACCCAGCGCCCTGCCTCTGGGCTCTCACCCCTCTCTTCCACTGAGCACGCGTGGTTCCAGCTATCTGAGTGGAAAGCACCACCTCCGGAGGGCCCCACACCTTCTGGGGGCTCTCTGTTTCCTGAGGAATCAGGGTCAGGCTTGGGGGTGACAGTCAGAGCCTGGCACAGGCAGTGCCGGTCTGCGTCTCCCATGTCCCCACCCTTGTCCAGTGTCCTCTGCCTCCTTGAGCCAGACTGATTGACTTGCTGAAATACCTCTCATCTGCCTTCAGATTGTAGCCTCCACAGTTCCGCCCCAGTCTTTGAGAAGACCTAGTCATCTTGGTTTGCTCGGCCTGCTCCTTTCTCCATCCTCCTTTAGAGCAGGGCTCAAGGTCATGGGCTGGGCATGGGGAGGTTGTACCCGGCAACTTAGAGGTCTTCTTGCTCTGAGTTACCCAGGGCTTTGTTGTCAGTGACCTTCCGCACCACATTTTGAACTGTTTAATACCACCTCTATCCTGTCACTCAGGCCTGGCCCACATAAACTCCAGTGGGATCCTCCATGTCTTCTTTCTTTACTTGTCTGTGGTGGCCTTGGAGTCCACTTCTTGGTGGCATACAAAATGATCCCGAGTCCCCGAGTGACTGCATGGAGCAGAGCACTGCCCTCCCTAGCTCTGTCTTGATGTCTGTTCATTGGACCATCACGCTAAGCCATTGAGACTTTGGAGCTTATTTGTTACAGCAGCTAGTGTCAGTTATCCTGACTAATTGATTACGAAGGGTTAGAACACTTGTCTCCCTAAGCCAGTCTATCTTCTGAAAGTTTCTGTGCTCATTTAATACGATCAGCACCTGCCGCAGCACTTTGCCCATAATGTGGGCACCTAAGACTTATTGGTTGATGAATTGGATGGGAGCTAGTTTTAGGAGGTAGTTGATAGCCACAGAGGAAATAACCGCGACATTGTAAAGGCTGAGTTGGGTTGGGTGGAGGTGGTGAGGGGAAGGGGCTGGGCAGACCGAGTGTGAAGAGCCATGTCACCTGCCTGTACGATCTTGAGTCCATTCTGGTCCTGAGGAGCTGTCAGCCGGCGAGGGACCAGCGCGTTTTGGTATGTTTCCTTTGAATGTGTAATGTTATAACTTGAATATGTTTTTATGTTCCTTTTTCTGTCGAATAAAATTAATTCATATTTATTGTAGACAATTAGAAAAGCCTGAATAAATTCATACAGTAGAAAATGCTAACGTGTTCAAATATTTTTTAAATGGCGACGTGGTGGTTTTGTACCACCACTAGGAAAATGGACTGAGGGGCAGGAGGTTTCTTGTTAGAATCTCCAGGTCACTCTGTAGGAGACGCTTGGCTTTCTATCCTCTTTTGAGGAAGTTATTTGTTTCTCTCATTTTAGAGCTGAGAGAGGTGAGAAATTGATACGACGTGACTTAGCCTGGATGACACAGCCGGGGAAGGGCAGAGCCATGATTCCTGAACACCCTGGCACTTGTCCCCAGCGCCCTCATGAGGAGGGAGGGAAGGCAGTGGAGGGTGTGGGGTTTCACGTG